TGTGAGTTTTGCTACTCCACAGATAATCATAAATTCAATATCGGTTATCGCAAGATTTGCCATGTTTTTCAGCTACCATGGTACGCAACATGTCGTCAAGAAGGAGGACAAAAGGAAAGGGTGAAGAGTCGCAGATAGATTACGCAAGGTAAGGAGGAGTATTGCAGTTCGAGCTTGTTAGCCTATTAGAAATGAAAAAAGGAGTCATCAAAACTTTTTATGCATTCGTAAATTTATGAAATTGTGCTTTAGAATGGAAGAAGAGCGCAATAATTCATCTGAAATGAAGCCTCAAAAGCAACCGACAGACAATGACGAGGAAAACTCGCCAAAGCAAGCTGAAGCTGGCACCGATGCCAGTAAAATCACGGACAGGCCTGAAGTATAACAGGGAGCCCTAAAAGCAATAGTAGACTAATTCCTACTGCCTCCCATTGCTGGGATTGTGTAGAAACCCAAACTGGAGACATTCTCACCCAATGCATATCCATTTTCTCATTAAATGAATCGGGTACGGTTATCCCAAAATCTTTCCGAAGCAACTTCCTTCGATAACGTTTGTTTCAAATCCTTGTATAGTTCTGGATTCAGTCTTAAGAAAAGACTTAGTTCGATATTGATGATTTGTTTTATTCATATTGTTAAGTGTTTTTATCGTTACTATCTTTGTGACACCAGTTCTTCTTCGAACTGACGCAATATTGATGTAAACATCAAGTTTGTCCGTTTCTCACTCATTAGATAATGAACTGAAACGGGGTTTTAATTTGCAAGACTATTGTTATAGAAACTAGTAGTATTTTTCTCTTGTTTGATCAGAAAATCTGATGAGCTGAGCTTATTTTGTGCATATTAGCATTTATGCCATCATTTTTCAATACGATTGTGTAACTAGTCCGTTCAGACATTGTGTTAGATGTTTTGGACGGGAGATTCGAAATGAATCCTACAAATCGCAACGTCTATTTGCGATAGTTCATTGTGATAGTTGTAATCAACTTACTATGATTCAATGTCATAAGTCCTGACATTAGCATATATTCTGACGTACCGTGGACTTCACGGCTAATTCTTTGCATAAAGTCTTTT